TATACAGTGATTGTGTTGGGATATACGATGATGAGTACGTAAACATTAGCGATTATTTCACGAACTTGTGGAGAATGTGTAAGACGAGTAGCTGCATTTCTGAAAAAAAGAATTCCTTGAAGGAGTCGAGCAGGATACAAAGCGGGTCATCACTTTCCGTTCTTGATGCAATGATCAGGAAAATGGAGAAAACTATGAAAAGCTTGGTAAGTATTTTTCATTATACATAGGAAAATCCAACGGAATCAAAAGACAGTTCAAAATAGTGTTTCACGACAAGAACTGCGATTTTAGTGTTCTTATGTCATTCGTCAGTGATCTATTCCTGTGTAATAGTTCACTGGCATGGGTAAAACACGGACACAAGAACGGAATGTGCAATAGCGGTTCAAAGTGTGATGTCGCACAGAACAAAATAGTGTGCAAAGTGGACAATCCCGACAGTGCTATCGATCTTGATAAAGTGAAGAGGATGTCTTTGGATCATAAAATATATTTTCACAGTAACAAATCGTATGATGAGCTAATTTTTGTCACAAAGTGTCAGTTGCTGGGTGAGAAAAAGGCACTCTTTGAGGGAAAGCTGTTAAGTATGGAGGGTACGCTAGTAGCAACTGTTACACAGGAGGGAATTATCACAATCAAAAACAATGATTAAATGGTGTATGTGTGTTTTATATGAGATGAAGCTGATGTTGTGACCACAATGGTCTACTAAGCATCAAGAAGCATCAAACATTCGAGTGATCGATAGCGATATGGCACGTAATTAATACGCACGGTTCTGTCGTTGTCGATTACTGCTATGGCTGTTGACAAAGAAATGAGTGACTGCAAAGATTGCACTTCACAAAGAGAACTGTTTGCAACGATTTATTTGATGCGTTCAATTCTGTCATCATGGATTGTAATTGTTAACACTGCATTTCTCTCCTTAAGGGCTGAAGTATTCGCATTGCTGTTTTTCTTATTGTGTCTAGTCCATATCCACCAAGTAATTACGGGATGATAGTTAGATACATTTTTGACAAGCAACACAACCATGAAGAGTATTCTAGAAC